TTTCAATAATAAAACTAAAATCTTACTGCTGCATGTTAAAATTTAATATCATTGCTGGACTTCATGCATTTGGCTTTCATTGAGTTTTTAAAAATTGCAACTCAGTGCTCTTAATGTGGCAACGATGGTGACATGAGAAGCCAGAACGCAAGGGTGGCAACTTTGTCTTCCTCAATTTATTTCTTCCTTTTTTAATTCAGTCATACATAAGGTGATTTTTCTTTAATACAGCCCTCAAGCAACATTATTATTAGATTATTTACAAATGTAAGACCAATGGCATTACTTCGTACATATCATAGACACAAGGCGTTTTTTTTTTCCTTGTGTGTTTTACAGGGTATGTCCACAATTCATAGCTACGAGACTAATCCTTATTTTTGTTAAATTTACTCCTTCTATCAAGAAAATTTAGAATTAATATTATAAAATTAACATAGACAAGTCATGCAATAGGTGATGTTCAAATAGTGGCAATTTTAAATAATTGGTAAAAAGTTTTAATGCATGTCATCAATGAAAAGTAAAGTTATTATATATATATATATATATATATGTGACACAATAAGATAACATTGGAAAATAATCAATAATCATCAATAAAATACATAAAAGTCCGAAAATTTAGTACTATTTTCTTTATTCTTTACAGAAGTCGTGCATTATATGATAATATGCTAGTTTATTTTATATTTTCATTTCTATTAAACCAGGAATAATATAACTTTTGACCCCTTAAATTTGTTTCAATTATCAATTTAATCTCTCCAATGTAAATTTTTTCAATTTAGTTCTTTAAATTTATTTTGATTATCAATTTGATCTTTATTATTTAAAAAGATGTAACTCTCTATTAAAAATTGCTGACATTGATAACATAATATTGATGATAACCATGTAAATTAATGAAAAGAAGTAAAATTATTGAGGTAGGAAAAAATAGACGTAAGTTTTTTTTTAAAAAAAAGAACAAAACACAATCTAAAGGAATATATTGACAAAAAATAAACTGATTTGAGGGTTATTTTGTTTTCATTTAACTACATATGTATATCAAACCATCAATATAATTTTCACATATTAAATTATTTTGAGAGTTAATTTGTATTTTAAAACTTACAGAACTCACATAATAATTTTAAAAAACATAAGAGATCAAATTGATAAAAATTAAATTTGAAGAACCAAATCAATAACTTAAGCAAACTTGAGAGATTAAAATTCCATTATCTCATTTAATTATATTTGGTATGTTAGTAAATACATAAAATGGGTAAATAATTTAATTTATTTCCCATTATTTCTATCTTATGTACAAGAAGTCACGGCATTTTGATAATTCAATTAATTTCAAACTTTTTTCAACAAAATTTTGATTTCGAACTGAGTCAAAATCATCACAATCAAATGTTTATATCTTAATTTCAGACAAGACTAAATAATATAACTTGTATAAAAAAATCCAACAATAATGAAAAGTTTAGCTTAACGCACGATTTTGTTCTGGTAAAAAATATTTAAAAATTATGAAAGCATATAAGCCAAAACCTTGGTCGTTGATATCAATGATTTATGTCAAAAAAAGACGGCCGTTGAACTTGCCAATAATCTCGTGACTAATGTGCCCATAATATATTTGATTCGATTTTTAAATAGCAATGAATTGCCAATCGTCAACAAAGTAAACTCTAAACACAAAAATATAAGTTTAACCACAAATCACATGCTAATTGTGATGACGTGTTCCATGTGCTGGAGGTCAGAGACTGTTCATCACCTTCCTTCCTTAAAGCTAGCATCTTCCATAACATCATATATATATATATATATATATAGGTCCACACCTTATTACTTGTAATGGTAGAGTTCTATACTTTCCCTTTCATTCAATTGAGAATTTGAGTCATTTTTTGAACTATGGCTTTGAGCTTAACCTTTGTGAAAGAAACAAACCAGGTATATATTAATTTCCCCCTTTGAGTAGTAATCTTTCCTTTCTATTTTCCCTTCTTCTTTACACATCCATATATGCTATCTTAATTACACGCTTGAATAGTAATCATCCTTTGACTATAAACCTGTATATTTGTATAAAACACGAAATACGTTGCATTGTTTATAGCTTATAAAAACTGAAGCTTCCAACAAAGTCTTTTATCACTCTCCCCCCACCACCCAAAAATTGATTTTTTGAAAACTTGTATCTATATGGGTAGCAAGTTGTTAATCCATCCCAAAAAGCTCGTTTGTTAGGTTGGAAAGTGTCTTGAACTTAACTAACCTATTTTTATTGTGAGGCTCATAATAATGTGTCTCCATTCAAGAGACAAACATTCCCAATGGCTTCACTCCATTAACACTCGACTAATGTAATTATAAGTCCAAAGAAAAAACCTATTACAGAATGCTAACTTGTCAAGTGGGAGAAGTTCTTAAACTTATAAACCCTGCTTTTAAGTTATTGTAAGGCTCCATAGCGTGGGACTCATAACACAAACTTCAGATTATATATGGACTCATCCATTGGATCTTGTACTCATTGGTCGTCAGTCTTTGCACGAGAGAATTGTGGGAAAGCTTCGGTTAATCTTTAGAGGGGTAGAGAACCTGAGACTTGATCACTTAGAGACCAAAGGGAGAAACAGATAGAGAAAAATGTTACATAGAGTTAACAGAAATTGAATGGGAGAGGAGAGAGGCTGAGATTAGGAAATCCACTTACATGCCCACTTTTACATTGTCATTTCCTCCATTTGCAAGAGACATTTGGAGATTTTTTTTTGACATTATTTATCTTGTATATTTTTATTAAAGCATTTATTTATTTTTTCCCCTTCAATGCCCTTTATAAATGCTAGAATGAATTTCGTATCTTGTATTACACGTTGATATTTTGTGTCATTATATTATAGGTACTTTTCACTGGAAATTCTTGTGTGAAGGAAGTGATACTAAACAGGCCTCAAAAGCTGAATAGTCTCAATCACGAAATGGTTTGTTGAATTCGCTTCTGTTAGCGATGCAGCTCCCATCTATGCTCTCTTAACGGATTATTTTCTATTTTATGAACTGTAGATTTCTTACTTGTAGGTTTCTATATAAAATTTAAAAAATCTTGAATAGACTATTGCTTAATAATAATCAGAAGCCAAAGTCCTTACTGTGATCATATTCATATCTAATCCTGAGTTAAAGTGATCTTTTTTGGAGAAATACATGACATAATTATCATCTTGTCATGAAGATATAAAGAAATTTAGAATTTTAATATATTCAAGATAGACTTCATTTTTTTTTAATTTTCCCAAAAAAAAAACCCACCTTTCCATGTACGAGTCAACTTTTCTTCAATTTATAAAAGACTAGTTGGTGAAAGCAACTTGGTGAACAATAAATCATTTATCAACTTGGTGAACAACAAATCATTTATTAATGATTTGGACATTAATCAATGACTTCTCTGTCTATTCTTGCAGATAAGTCAGATGAAGGAGAGATTAACATTGTATGAGAACGACCCATCTGTTAAACTGGTCATTTTAAAGGTAATCATAAGCGGTTGAAGATTTTTCGACCGTAAATTTCATTATTTGAATTTAAATGAATTTCGGATATGATGGTGTAATATAGAAGAGTTAAATAAAAAAATAGAAGTATGAGTATCATTCCGCAAGAGTTTATAGACTTTCTCAATTAAATTCTTAATTCCGTATTGATGTGTATTATAAGTTAGTAATTATATAGAAATCATTTCAACTGTATTTTAATTCAGGCAAATGGAAAAGCTTTTTGTGCTGGTGGTGATGTGATATCAGTAGTTACTTCTTCAATTGCAGGTAGGTACAGTCTTTATAAACATGTCATCAAGCAGAATTAGTTTCTCTGCTCTTTCTAAGGATGAGCATCTTGAGATGGGATTTTTACTATTCAGATTTTAATTTAGTTAGTCTAAATTTAAAATATTAACATTATATTATCATATATTATATTTATTTAAATAAAAATTTATAAAAATTATAAAATAATTTTAATAAATTTTTTATTTTTAATCTAGTCTGGATTTAATTTAAAAGGTTTAATTTAATATTAAAATTTTTATAATTGATATATATTAATTATCTAGATGTATTCTGTACAGTCTAATATTTTATCCAAATTTTAATTTGGATGGTTCAAATCTCATCCCAAGGATGAGCATGAAAACAGGACTATTATCAAGCTGATTTTGACATTATATATCTTTCTCTCTCTTTAAATTATAAACTTGACTGTGTTCTTATTTTAACTTTGCCTTAAATATTTTAATAATTTAATATTTCGTTTTTTAAATGTTTGGTTCGCCTTGACTTTCTTTAATATTCTAAAACAAATAAATTTTATCAAAAATAAATTTGGTCTCTGTGTGTGTTGAGTGTCTGTGTCTGATTAATCTTCAAAAATATGAATGCTGATTGGAAATAGGACATTGGACCTATCCGGCAAGCTTTTACAAGAGACAACTTGCATTAGACCATTTAATAGCAACCTAAAAGAAGCCAGTGGTGAGCTTGCTAGTCCCCTCAATATTATATATTTTGATTTCTAAGTTCTATATATGATTGATTACATTAATATTATATGTAAGTGAAACCTAATTGTAGCTATTTTTTTTAATTAATAATATGAAGGTGTGTCTGATTAATGGAGTGGTCATGGGAGGAGGAGCTGGCCTATCCATGAACACAACTTTTAGACTTGTCACTGAAAAAACTGTACGTATATGGTCTTTTCTTCTCTCAACTTACTTGATTTAAATTGAACAAGTGCTCTATTCATCACTTCTTATAAAGATTACACAACTTCCATTACCCTGTATACATATTGGTAATACTATAATTAGTAATACTGATATATTGACTTTGTTAAGAATTGATGGAGGAGCATAGCCTGGAAACGAAATAAAAGAACAAATGTGCAAGAGTAGTGGAATGATGTCACATGTATCTTAACTCATTTTATTATATATTATTTATTAAACTTAATTTCGTCTAAATATCAACTCAAATTTACTCACACTACATAGACATTCTAACATATATATTAAAATCGAAATTGTGTACAATATATATATATATATATATATATACTGTAATCATTGTACTAATTTTGTATCATTCATTTAATAATAGGTGTTTGCTATGCCTGAGGCATCTATAGGACTCTTTCCAGATGTGGGTGCCTCATACTTTCTCTCGAAGCTTCCTGGCTATTTCGGTAATATTCCCATTCCATCTTTCTGTACTATTTACATTATCAGCATTTGATTTTGGCAATTCCTTATGAGAAAAATATTTTATTTTAATAACAAACATGCGTGATGCTTATTGTTCATGTGGTACTAATTATTTTGATTCTCCTATATAAATCACATGCATATACATATAGGGGAATATCTGGGGTTAACAGGAACTCGTTTGAATGGAGCAGAAATGCTTAAGTGTGGCCTAGCTACTCATTTTGTCCCTTCCAAGGTATGCATATATAACAACATTATATTGTGTCCCTCTGTGCATGTGTGTGTGTTTCCTCAGCCTCATACATATTCTCTTCCATGACTTGGAAATTACTATATTTGATGAGAAAAGTTTATATATTTAGCCTTATATACTTAATATTCTTTTTTTCAATTAACTCAAGACATGAGGATTTTTTATGGATTATTTATACCATAATAAATTCCTGTTATTAATTTAGTTAAATATTAAGCTCTAGTTGTTATAATTTGATTGGATATAAGTATGTTAAGTATATAAAGCCATATACATAAGTTTTATCCTATAATTAATCATGTGACATGACCCATTAGCTAGTAAAATTCACATCATTTTCCTCCGTGCAACAGAAGCTAAATTTGCTGGAAAATGCCCTACAGTCTGTGACAACTTCAGATATTTCAACAATTTCTGCATTAATTGATAAATTTACTGAAATAGCCTATCACAAGGAACACAGTCCTTTGAAGAGGTAATTTTGTGGTTATTCTGTTTCATAATATATTTACACGAGCTTTTGTCAACATTACAAGTTATTAGCTATTAAGTTTAATTTTATTGGATGTGAGATTTTTTACATTTATTCAAATAATCTACTCACACTAACATATAATAACTATCCAACCATATGCGCATGGTACCTGTACTTAAGTCCTTTTTTTTTCTTGGTTTCTAGTATTTCATAAGACATGCTGATTACAGTAAAAGTTCTTTTGACAAATTAACAGACTGGACACAATCAACAAATTTTATTCAATGTGAAACTTTTCACATTTACTCAAATAATTTGCTCACACTTAGATACCTTAACATATAATAAATGTCCAACCATATATGCATAGGACGTGTACTTAAGTTTTTTTTTTCCCCTGTTTCTAGTATTTCATAAGACATGCTGATTACAGTAAAAGTTCTTTTGACAAATTAATAGACTGGACACAATCAACAGATGTTTCTCGAAAGGATCTGTTGAGGAAATTATTTTATCCTTGGTACGCAAAGTGTAATTTGATGTTCATTTTTCATATTGAAATCGGGATTTCTTAGACAAGAATAATATATTGTTCGAATGTCATAATTTTTGTAGGAAAAGGAAATAGAAGTTAATGGAGCAGAAAAGTGGATAGCAGATGCATTAAGTTTCATGCGTGCATCTTGTCCGATAAGCCTCAAGATATGGCTTAGATCAGTAAGTATATGTGCAAAGATGTATTACAAATACAAATTACTTTAGAAAATTACAGATTAATGAAATGAATTAAGCTGAACGTGATTAGGTGAGAGAAGGCAGAGTACAAAGCATTGAACAATGCCTTTGTCGAGATTACAATATTAGCTGCCATTTCTTGCGGAGAACTGTCAACAACGATTTCTATGAGGTGAGCACTAGTAGAAATACTCTCTCAGTTAAAATATAAGGCATTTTTAATCGAGTTATACCTCCTAATAAGTTGGTTAATTGTCTTTTAAATTGATACTAATTTTTTATCTTTATCTTTATTTGATAGGGTGTCTCACTTAAAAGTGATTAAAGATAGTTTTGGGGGAAAAACTCATTAATTACATATTCAAAACCTAAAAATGCCTTTAACCAAAAAAAAAGTGAAAGTGTTAAATGTAAGGGAGGGTGTTAATTGTGATCTAATTATGATTGATTTAGATTGACCCATGACATTTATTTTAATTATTGTACATTTATTTGATATTTATTAGGATATTTCATTTTATTATCTATATAAATCTTCTTGTGGTAATCAATAGACAATGCAAAATTTACACCATTCCTGATCTCCCCCCACCCCTTTTCTTTCTGGAATATTCTCATAATTGCAGGGCTCAAGAGCAAAGCTATTTGATAAGGACAACGAGGCTATGGTAAGACATATAGTATACCATCTCTCTGTCAACTTAGAAATCATTTTAATGAATATAGCCATGCATTAATTTTGAGACACTATATTATTAAATGATAGAAGGCTTTTAATCTCCTAAGGTGCGCCACTCCATTCTAAAATCTTTCTGATATGAAAAAAAAAAGTACCGATCTTTCCCTATAATAATAATAATAAAAAAAAAACATGACACTAGTCGTGTAAAAAATGATTAAAAAAGGTTGAAGCTGGTTAGTGAAGAATTTACCTCTTCATTGCATAATTACAATTTTTGTTGGTTTTATTTTTGTGTCTAGTGGGATCCTCCAAAGCTGGAGATGGTGAGTGAAGAAATGGTAAATCAGTACTTCAAGGAGGTTGAAGATCACAATTGGGAGTGTCTGCAACTTCCTCGCAGATCAAACGTACCAAGCAAGCTGTAGAGTGAAGCCCAGGATGAGAATAGTTACATATGGCATGGAAATGGAAATGGAAATGGAAATGATGGATTATTTTGTCTGGAAAGCATAATATTGTTGTTGTTGTTGAGCAGTAGCAAGTGAACTGTAATGAAGTATAGAACATTAAACATTAAACGATGACAGTAATTTGGGTTATTTGGATCTGATTAAGGTCTTGGGTGATTATTATTTTAGGCTTGTTTTAGATAATTACTAACGTTGCATAAATAGCACTGATTCAGTGTTATTGGATAAGAAGTCATAAGTCCTGATGATTTTGTAGGCAAAACTGAGTAGACTCACAATCTGAATCATGCCTGAAGACACTATCGTTAAAAGCTATTCCACCACACTAAATTGATTACGCAACAGCTCTTCAAGAGTAAATAAATTCTTCCTACTAAAAGTAGGGACACAGAACAACAAAAATTTACAGAACAAACTTAGTTAACTGTACAGTGAAGCAGTGTGATAAAAGAAAAGAGAAAGGCTAAGAGCGCAAAGATTTTCTCAGAACTTGTGGTAAGCATTACCTTTTATAGGCAAATCTTATAATGCTGGGCAATAAAATCACTTTAATCACAATTAAAAAAATCTGTTATCAAAATAATGAGGCTAATAAATAAATTTAAATAGGGGGTTATAATAATTATATTTATTAAATTATAATAATTTTTTTTGAAATACCTATAAAAATTTTATAATATTCAACAGATTTTTTTTTTTGTTATTTTAAGAAGCTTTTGAGCAATTAAGCTCATTTGGGCCCAAATTCTTTTGAGGTATGGCACCACTTGCTGGGCCCAGATTCTTTTTTTTTTTTTTTGCTAGGAAAATGATACGGGAAGATATACAAAAGGAAAATTGCCATAAAATCCTTGGAAATTGTTTTGAGAGACCAATATCAATTTAAGGACCGATCGATGCATGTCAAGCCTATCACCTTATATATCAGGCCTATGACTTTATACCTCAAATCTATTACCTTGTATTCCAAGTCACCCCAATCTTATCATATTGTATCTAAGAGCAAGAAAGACAAGTTCACCAACTTGAGAAAATTTCTGTACAGAATAAAACTATGATGGCTGAATACTAATTACTCGCCGTTGAAGTATGGTTTAAGCATTTTTTAAAAGAAAAAACGAAGGCAATGAAAAAAATCCAAACAAATTAAAGTCCAAATAGAGGGAATTATTAACAGTTAGGCTAATGACAAAATTTTCTGAAAAAACAAGTGGTAAATATTTATTCAAATAATTGTAAATATGAATTTAAATTGCAAAATGAGAGTTATTTTCAGAATTTAAATATTTCATTTGTATTTGAAATTCCTAAAAATTTATAATTATAAGGTGAGCTAATTGTTGGTAATTTTATATTTTAGAACTTAACCGTCTTGATCTCCCTTTTAAGAATTATTTTTTAAAAAATTTATTTGAAATTGCCTATCAAAATTAAATAAGCTCACAACATATATCTTTTCTGATAATAATTATTTAAAAATAGAAAAATATCCCATATTTAACTTAATTAAGAAAAATTTTTATAACTAATAAATAGTGCAAATTATTAAAATTTTTACATCCCACAGAAATAGGTATATAAATGTTATGTCAGAAAGAAGGAGGAGGTGACATATTAAACGCTGGCCCACTCTGGAAGTCTGAAGGCCGTGAACCCGAAGATTCCCGTATGTTACTGTGACCCTCGGTCCAGATATTTGAGAATGTGGCAGATATGCATATATGTCACATATTAATTGTCATTCGACGACCCATATTGAAATGATGAGATGTTATGATGATATTCAAATTTTCATGTTCACCGAGGTCCTTGCACCCGCAAATGGGAATGGACAGAATTCGCAGACAAGTTAGCAATTTTACCCACTCCCAGACTTTCAAAATCTCGTCTCTAATCAATAATCTCTCAAATGGTAATCTCATCATCATATTCTCACAGCCAAGCTTAAGTTCTGTGACATTACACTGAAGGATGTCCAAGCCAAATGTTGCTGTAAACTAAAACCACAAATAACAAAAAAATTCAAATGAACACACACACGGGGAAAGATATCTGATATTGGCTTGGTTATAGCAGTAAATGAAACGCGCCATATATGTGTAATGTAAGGATCAGAATTAAGGTCCAGCAAAATTTGTTTTACCTTTATGCAGAAGTAAGAAGTTGTATGAAGATCATAGAAGATTACGTACAGCTAGAGTGAGCCTAAGGGTGGCACTGACATGAGAAAGAAGAGAGCCTAATATAGCCAAGAAAAAACTTGCCGGCAATACTTCATATAAAGGGCTGTGTTATGTGTGTGTGTATATATATATAGCTCCGGCAAGTCATTCTTGGCTGCACTACACTCTCCTCCTCTCCATGCAAGTCCCCTTCAGGCTGTTTGCCGCAATCTCACTAGCTGCAATGCCCTTATTATGCAGTGTAGGGTCCATATATATATATATATATATATGCAGAGAGAGAGAGAGAGAGAGAGAGAAGAAAAGGAAGAGAATTACAATCACAACTTGATAGATATATAAAAGGAATGGAATCTCCAGCTAGACTAGCGATAATGTAGAATAATGGTGGATGACAGAGATATTCCTGAAGAGGGACTTACGGGAAGTGGCCTTACTTGCCAACCAAAAGCCATAGAGTGGTGTAAAAGTCGTCACACCGCCTAATTGCCACGTCCTTCCAAATTCTTTGCTTGATTGGGTTTCGCAGATTGGGGACCAACCCTCAAAAATCAGGGCCCACCACTTCTCTTTTTCTGTCATCCATACCTATTCTCACGATTGATGATTCCCAGAGAATCTTTCCCTGGAGGCGAAGTGATAATTTTTTCTATTCAAAACTAATATTTTATTATTAGATGAGCATGTTAATGCTCAATCCAGACCAGTACACGTTTTCCTCTCGTGGGAACCCAGACCAGAACATGGCATGATAAGCATTCATTGCCAATGGCCTCTCTTAAGGAAAAAAAGAACCATGATATAATTGTTTATTATATATATGATATTTAGAGAGGCTTGGAGCAGATTATTAACTTTGTTATTTATCAGCTACTCTCTAGAAGACACTTGTTAGGATATTAAATAATTTTTTAAATATTATCCCTATTTAATTCCATTAACGATGAGAAAATATGATGCAAATTTGAAATTTTTTTATTTAAATTTGATAAAATTAGAATTTTATTATGTTTTAGACAAAGTTAATGATATATGCCTTATAATGGAAACTGGAAACGGTATGCAGCATGTACATATCAACATTTGTATTTTTATACCTTTAAAAATTGATTGATGATTATAAAGGATGATTTTAACAAGTAGTATTAGTACTACTGGTCATTCCTTTTTTTTGTTACATCTACTTTTTCATTTATTAGTTTATTTGCAATCAACAGATATTCAAAAATTCAAATATTGATTTTAAACCATGTGTATACCAAATGGTTGGTTCCAACGTTGATTAGTGTACGACTTTTTTTTTTTTTTTTTGTTTTACTGAAGTTAATGCATTCACAAAACAAATCAACTTATATCAAAAGAGTTAGATCAATCCTGAACACTCTCATCATTCACCTCCTCTTGGGGAAGGGGTTGGGGTGATCAAAAGTACAAAAACTAACATCTAGTCTATAAGATAGTTTGGCTAAATATTCAGCATATATATTTGAATCTCTATCAACATGATGAACAATCACGCTCCATTCTCTGTGACATATAAGGCGAGCATCATCATGATCAATAATCTCCTTAAAAGGATGGGACTCATCAAAACCGTTGACAATTAGCATACTAGCTTTAACACAGTCACATTAGACATCCACATTGCATATACTCCTGTTCCAACTTATGGTAAGTCCCTGGATAATAGCGAGAAGCTTTGCCATCACAGGTGGTACAATAATAAGTTTGAAACTAAAACCTTGAACCCAAACACCTTGCTTATCCCAAATGAACCCTCCACACTTGCTGCTTCCATTACTCAGCACAAACCCATCAACTTCCAGCTTAAAAGCATCAATTATTTTCATAAGATTATTGATTGGTCATTTTCTATCATAAGAAAGGAAAGGCACCATCTTATACAGATCTAAATCCAAACAAGCTCTAAAGAAACTAGAGTGAGCTACGGGATGAGGTTGGGAATGATCATCATCAAGAGCCTCACATTGATCCACCCAAATATCCCGACAAATGTACCCAAATAGAATTGCCCAGTTCACCTTTCTGGTAAAGTTCTTGCCTGCTTCATTTTTCATATTCCACTCCAGCCAATCTACATTAGTGAGGGTAGTGAATGAGTTCCAACTCTCCTCTCTGACAACAACTTTCCACCTGTCAAGAGCATTCGGACGGTCACGGATTAGGTGCATTGAGTCTTCAATAGCTTCACACCCAAAGGGACAATTCCCCTCAGTTACCAAGCCTCTCTTCATCTTGAGTTCATATGTGTGAGTCCTTCCATATGCAAAGAGCCACATGAAGAATTTTATTTCTTCCAGAACAGGTCACCTCCATAACATCTTCCAGATACTATCAGCTCTCTCATGTGTGCCTGTAGACAAAAAAGAGTAGGCAGATTTAACAATAAAAATACCATCTGAAGCATGGCAGTTGAAATAAATGTTCTGCATGAGAAAATAACTTACCATGTGCAAGTGTTGTTTTGCAGCGTGAAGTTACCAATAATTTATAAATAAATAGAGGATAGAGGAGGTTCATGATGAATTATCTGAAAAATGGAATCAATTCAATGGAGCGGGTTTAATAGTAATATTTGCCGATTCGGTTTAAGACACAATAAATGCAAAATCTATTATTATATCAGAGGGCATTTAGTATTTTTGTTCATTGATTTTAGATTTGTGGCCTGGTTCCTACTCTGTTTGTGCTTTATTCCTAAAAGATTTCACTTTTAAAAAGAACGTTATTTTAATGCATGTTATTTATTGATTGATAGGACATGTCACTATTTCAACGTTTCACAAAGTGCTTCGGTCCAATTTCCACTTTTCGTAAATAAAATGTACTAAGCATTTTAAAATTTCTTTCAACAATTCGTTGGAGTATGCATTTTCAACATATTTGATTTCATGATTAACCGGCTTTTATATTTTTAGTACGCTTTTAAGTTTAAGTTTAAGGCTTCAATATATGAAGGGGACAGCATAAATATATTTTCATTCATGGATTTGTTTTTACAATGATAAATTAATTCATTAGTATTGGATACGTTTAATTTATATTAATCCGTATGTGTTCATGTTATTTAGTCTTAATTAATAATTCTATGGTATAGACATAGTTTAAAATGCTTTTGTATAACTACCTGAAATGTGAATTTTACTTAAATCACACCATTAATTCTGTCAGAAACTTTTGTAAATTTCAAATGATTAAAGAATATAATTTTGATTCTCTACACTTTGCTTGAGTTTTGCTACAAGTTTTTATATTTTTTTTGTATTTTAAGTCCTTATACTTTTAATTTTTGGTATTCTTAGACTTTATAACATCGCTCATAGATGGACTTAAAATACCGAAAAGCATGAGTATAGAAACCTAAAACACTGAAAAAAGTACAAGTGTCTATAGCACAACTTGAATAAAGTGCAGGGACCTAAAACTATGTTTTCCCATTAAAGAAACTTATATCTAACAAAAGCCATTAAAAATTGCATAAAATTGTTTTCCGTTAAACTTATAATCACTTTTACTTAATTTTTGTTTCTCAAAAACAAGACTAAAAACACATGAAGTTGCATATAGTAGTAGTGATGATTCAGGGAAATAGTAATAGCTTAGAATTATTGTTGATTTTATAATATATGAATTACTTAATCTTTATTGAAATTGATGGTATTTTAGAGTCTAGGATTCAACTCCACTTCTGTGTGTGCGTGTGTGTCAAAAGAGGCTTCCTAATTAATTCATTTACAATCTCTTATGTTTTTTTTTTTTTGTGTGACTGAAATACAATCTCTCATGTTATTAATTATTAATCATCCTAATTTTGTCAGTAGGTCTATTTCTATCCTACAAGCAAATTATCTACCCAACATCACAAGATTCAAATCTCACACAACCCAATAATTATTGAATATCTATTATAATTTCTGAGCTTCATTAGAAAACCCAAATTAGTCCAAAATGATAGCATATTAATAAGGAAGCTTGATGAGTAATAAAAAAGTGATGAAAAACATACTCAGATTGTTTCCATCTCCATTTAGCTCCTTTACAACCAAATATACCATCGTTAAGCTCCATAGTCAAGCCTAATATATATCTATATATATGTATATTTTTTCTAAGGAACATGCTTCATATTCAACCAAGAAAAACACATTCGTCATGTTTAGTCCTACATTTGATTAAATTTAATTTTGGTTCATTTTTTTAAAAAATTATTCCATTGTTTTTATCAATTTTTTTGGTCGAACTACAAAATAACGATTGATAGTTCAGGGAAAATTACGAAGGAGGTCAAATAAAAAAAAATAATTGGCCATGTTTGGCGGCAGGATGCCAATTAAGTGACAATAAAGTCAACAAAAATATCCTCAAAAGGCAAAGTAAAAATCAAACCATGCATGGGAATGTGTGTAATTGGAACTGTCCAATGGGATTTGAACTTCTTTTTAAGATTTTAATTCATTAGGATGGCATCGAATGTATCTAGCCACCATGCAATTGTGCGGCGGTTGTCATGACTTGAAATTCGAGTTATAACCGACGCATAGGTTAAGCTAATTACTTAACCTAACAAGCCTGAAAAATTTTGCCTCTCACACAAAGCATCAAGAAAAACACAATTTTTCTCTATTCAAATTTTCACTGTTCGTTATAAATTCAATTATCAAGTCAAAACAATATAATTCAAATTAGCAAACATGATTTTGCATGTAACCTTGACTATTTTGCCGACAACACCACAAAGTGGCTCTAACACTTTCATAATAGTTATGTGTTGAAAATTGTATCATAAGATCAATCATTCACTACTACAAAAAATATCTTTATGAGCACGTATTTTGAAATGTTTAGGAAACAAGTGCTACAAAAATTGGAGACGGAACCTACCGGAGAACTTTTTTTATGTGTATAACATTTAAAAATAAGATCCATGAAGTAGAATTTGAAAAGGAGATTTATGATGAAATGAATAGTGAAAAATTAGCGACTAAAAATATTAATGATATTTTGACCAAGGATTGGCTACAAACCACACAAATTAGTTTATACATCAGGTACTTTCTAAATTTTATTATTTATTGTGGTATTTATTTAATTTTAGTTGTGAATGATTCTTTTTTTTTTCATTTTAGGTACTTATATCATACTTTCGTGGTACCGAGCTCATTGCTAACAAAATTTTTATTTATTAGCCCTCACAATAC